TTTATTGTTTATACCTAGATGTATTCAGAGATCATAAACTTTAACTCTAAACATGAGTCGAAAGGGAGAAAAAGCTGTCTGGATAAACAAACGAAAGGAGAATAACTGTGGAATAATTCAAACTTATGAGTTAGCCAAGAGGAGACTGCGAAAGCAGTGTAAGCTTTTTTGTATGACCAGCAATTTGGGCTAAACAACTTTCTCAAAAATATTGGTGAAATATTTTTCTTAAAAATCACCAACACCAAAGTGTGAGAGGTATTCTTCACTTGATGATATACTTCTATGTCTTGCAGCTGGGAAACCAAGTGATGGCATACGCGTGTGACCTCAATTAAACTAAAGATATCGCTACATTTGGCAAGCCCAACTTTGTATTCCCTGGAGTCATTTACGTTTAAAAATTCCTCGTAACAGATAAGTGACATTTTTGCTCTAAACGACAGAATAATGAGGTGGCAGATAAAACTCAAGAGTGATTGTGGTTGGTTGAGCCTCAAGTGTTGGCCGAAATAAAGGTCTTCCAAAGACTTGTCAATATTTGCTTGCTCACAAAGTTGGGCATAATTAATGAAAAAATCCTTAGTAATACATAATAAGTAATAATGATACTTAATATTATTAAATAATGCCTAATGCAATAGTAGGATGCCTCTTACCTCATTTCGCTGGGCATACTGACCCTGTTCACAGCTCAGGTCGGGAATGTTGACGCCATCTACTTTCAGATTTCTAGCACAGCTTTCCAGGCCCGATTGGCCTCTCCTGAAGTCCGGGATTCGGCTGAGTGTTCGATGGTGCAGCGGTGCTTGCGGATCTAGGAGACCCAGACCTAGGGGTCTGGAATCCGCTGGACTAGAGGAGGCTGAGTTAAGCTGCACACTCGATCAGTCGCCCCACAAAGGCAGAAACTGCTGAGCTCGTTCGCCTCGACAAAGTTGAGCTGGTTGGAATTATTTGCGTTAGGCTGAAACAAAGTCGGCAGGCTCGCCGGAAGTTTGTGCACCTGACTTGGCGCCAGTCGCTCTTCATATTCGGCGATGATCTGGTGATTTGGTGGTCCAGCCTCTTGGTCGAAGGTAGGAGTTGAATAGATGGTTGGCGGCCCCAAGGCCTGGGGTAAATAGAGTATTCTTGGCCTAAAATAGCGGCAATAAAGACGCATGAGTTGGACAATTCGAACTTTCATTTTCCTGACGAAAATTCTGGTTCTACAAGGTTTCGTACAGTCGTCTGTCAAACTGTCTGCCGAACCCAAATCCAGTCAATTTACCCCCAGACCTCGGAGCCGTTCAGAGCGTCTTCAAGCAATCAACCTCTTTATTACTAAACGACGACGAAAAACTTAAAATACACTTTTTAAACGCATCCCTAGTCATGAAGTATAAAGGCATATAGTTCATTATTGTGCCTAAAAATGGCAAAACGCACTAAATCCCATTAATTAAGTGAGCAGATTATGATTTCGGTAATCCCATAGCAGAATCATATCAATTAAACTAATAACAGTTAATTTAACTTTAAACATTGTTCACTTGGCGTATCTGAGCATGGAATGCTATTTTGAGGAGTGTCATATCTTCCAATCGAAAGTAAAGGGTCATCGAGCTTCAAATCTTTGCAACTTTCAATGAAAACCTCAATGTTACCGGCATATTTATAGCCTCTCTGCTCACTCGATGGCTGGTTCCAGATAAATAAGTAGGGGGTTGCAACATTTTGAGATAATCGAGACAAATCTCTCCCCGACCAATAAAAATATGAAATTTAGTAGGAAAAGTCACGGGTAAGTCGCAATTAATACGAGTTTGAATAGTGTGAAATTTTATTAAATGCGAATTCTAAATTGACATAGGTCTGAATATAATATGAGCCAAATTTCAGTAAGTAGTATTCAGGATAACAGAGCAAAGGAGCAGATAACTCAGTTTTGTTGAACTGTTAGTCATTATGCAAGTTTTTGTGCTTGTCACTATCTCATTTATGTGTACAGTAAAGTATACACAAAATTGTATACCACTTGTCTAGTAAGAACGAACAAAAGTAAGGGTACTGAGCTGAACAATAGAGGTAAAAAAGCTGATTGGAGATTATATTAAAGCAAAACTTGGATGTAATCGAAATAAAGAAATATGGTGCTCGCAATACTAAAATTGGCAGAGATATTGGAATGTATGAATCAACGGTAGGGAATATATTAAAAATCGTAGATGAAACAAGGAACGAAGGTAATTTGACATCATTTTCATGCAGTTTGAAAGCCACCTCGATAAATAGCACTAATGCAATGATGGAGATAAGGCGACTTTTGGTAGTACAATCAGAAACGATCTTTACTTAGCAGAGTTGTAATTCAAACCAACGTATCTTTTGAATAATGAAATAAAACTGGAACAAGGTGAGGAGTGAAGCAACCATTACTGTGAAATCTGGTTAGTTTGACCGTTTCATAAATCGAATACGACGACATACCGCTAATCTTACCTCCGCCTTAGCCATTATATTGCATAAAAAACGGAGAAAAAAATTTTATTTCAAAATTCGTATTCATTTTTTTCAGTGGCAGTAAGCCAAGTACATTCGTTTCGAATAGTACAGAATTTTCA